AAAATGTAGTATATATATAGTTTAAATACCATTAAAATATATCAATGTCAATATTATTATCATAACATTGTTTTATTCAAATAACAAATAATAGTTTGAATTTATATTAAAATTATAGTAATAAAACAAAAGAAAGACAATTATTTTTTAATTAGAAAAATAAAAATATAATATCAACCACATTTTGAATTAGATATTATTATATTTAAACTATATCTTTATAAAATCGGATTTCTAAAAATAAAAACTATGAATTGACTTTTTGTAACTCAACTCATTTTTCGATAATTTTTTTTTAACTTCACAATCCCGAAAAGGATTTTTTCAAATTTAAAATAAATTAATTTTAATAATTTAAAGAGCAAAACACATTTTATTTTTTTTAATTAAAATAAAACAAGAAATTGTCTATTTAAATATTTATTTAAGATGGTAAAGATTGGTTTAAAACAGAATGTCCAAAAAAATTAAGATAAGTCCCAAGTTAAGTGTTTAGACTAATACTCCCGTTTTTATAGATATTTTAAATTGTAATATAAAAAACAAAATGATAATTTGGGAAAAATCATTTTTTTGGACACTCTGTTTAAAAGTCTGTTAATGTTATATAGTACAAATAGCAATAATTTTGGTTATACAAAAGGTATCAGCTAAAAATTAAAAAACCTGAAACAATGTGATGGATTATCAAAATGTTTTTTTCAAAATATATCATTTCTTATTGTTAAAAAGATCCCAGATAACGATAAAAGATATTTGTACTTACGTTTGTTCCATATTAAAAACTTAAGTTGCTCTTGAATAATAGTTGACCAAACTTATCACAAATAAAATTGTAAATGTTCATGCCAAGTATAATTTGTTACTAAAATTAATTAATTATTATAATATCATAGTGTAACAGTTCAGACATACAAATAATTTTTTATATATGTGATTCCATTTACTATACTAATAAGATTTGTCCACAAAGACAAATTAATATGGCTTGATTATTGAATCGATAATTTGTAATCAATCAAAGTTAATAATTAAAACCATTATTACTAGTTAATTGTTTGTCCATATTTTCTCAATATTCTTTTGAATTAATAATTATTATATAATAGTAAATAAAACAATAAATTATAGATTACAACATTATTGCATAAAAAAACAATATACTATACGACCGTAATAAATTAACTAAAACAACTAATAAATAAAATCCATTCCAAAAATTCAGAAAAAACGACATTTCTGTTCAAAAATGAAATCAAGTAAACTTGAAAAGGTATGCTTTTGTTTCTTATTGCACTCTCAGTTTACAGTCATACAGTCCAACTTAATAATGTTGATGCTGTGAAGAATGTTATTTTAAAAGACCAACCTATGTACAACGATGAGGTAACACCCACTGTTGACAAAACAAAAATATATCACAGCTACAATTGTAAGACTAAAGTTGTCGTGACAGACATAACAGACACTTCTGTGGCGCAGTGCGTTGATAACGGCGTTTTCGACTTTTCAAGTAAGTCTGCCAAATATGTCAATTACGAGTTTAATGGTATTCAGGTTGATACAGTCAATCTTCAAAGTGCAGGTATTAAGTCATCTCAAGTCAACAATGCACTCTTTGTGAATGGACAAATGTCTGTATGTGACTTTTCTGATTTTCAAGTTGAAAAATCGACATTTGAAGATGTCACTTTTAAGGCTCTAACTGGGAGAGATGTCGTAATCCAAAATTCAAAGTATCACGACGGGGAAATTGACTCATTCCTCACACAACGAACAATTATTTTAAACACAGTGTTCTCGGATTTTTCACTCAAAAATGTCGTGTTTGACTACACCAACACTACTGTGCAACACGTGAAAGCTCTTGGAGAAAATGAGACCTCAACAGACGCCTCCAATGACACTTCTAGTGATACCAGTAATACTGTAGATTCTTCTGAGCCATCGGTAGTATCTTCCAATGTCCCAGAATCATCGAGTCATGTTATAGATGACAGTTCTCATACGCAGAGTTCAGAAAATTCAAAAGTACCAACAGAGAGCTCATCCGAGAGTACTTCGAAGAGTTCGGCAACGCCAAGTACTTCTGAAAGTTCCGAGGAGCCTGCGATTGTATATACAAATCAGCTTAAGGATGTGGTGTTTTACGATTCTGAAATTGAAGGGTTTACTTATATTGAAGGGTCGATGACTAATGTCAAGTTTTCTGAAGGGAAAATAAAGAAGTTTGATATACTGACGAGTGACATCAACAACATGACTGTCATCAACAGCGACATCAAAAAAATGACCATCAAATTTTCAAGTATAGCGAACTCAAATATTCAGACAAAAGAAGGCGAGGAAATCTACTTTGAGCAAGTCCTTGTGAAGAACTGTAAGTTCGACATTGATGGGAAGGAAAAGTCGCAGTTCACACACACTCACTTTGTTAACACAGAGATCAACGGAGTTCTTTTGAAGGACGAGGAAGGCGATTATGAGATCGACGATGGGAAGTTCGGGAAAATCGAGAAGGACGATTCAAAGAGTAATGACGCGACTGTATTCAGTGTCGTCATTATAGTACTTGCACTGTATATCATTTTGGTTGTTGCTGCAGTCGTTGGTGCAATTTACTGGATCAAAAGTAAAGGGAGTAATAGTGCAAAAGATGATGGATACACGTTGGCAAAGTAATTCATTTTAATCTTTATAATGCTTTCTCGCTTGTTTTATATTGAAGCAAAAAATGAAACAATCAATAATTGACTTATTCAAATTTTAAAAGTCAAATTAGTCAGTTTTTAATTTAATTTAATTCAAAGTACTTTTGGGTTGAGTCCAATTCACTATCTTCGTCATCGAAATTCTCATCGTCTGTATCTAAAAGTGTGAGGTCATCAGTTTTGAAATCAAAACTCTGACGAAATCGATTTTTGATTTTTTGCACATTTTTTGATTTGGGTTGGGCAATTTTTTCATGTTTTTTGTCATTCAAAGTGATCACTAAAACGTCTTCAAAAGGTGATTTTATATTGTAAATGCCATATCTGGGAGATAACTGATGCTTTGACTCATATTGAACTACTTTGTTCTTTGGAAACACAAAAACGTCTTCCAACGTGTATTTTCTCCTCCCGTCGTCAACAAACACTTTGTTGTGATTATTTTGAATCGTTTTAATGTCATGAATTGTATATTTGTTGGCATAAGGGATATCAATTGTACTAAAAATAAATCCATCAAAACTCAGATTAGTAACAAAGAAATTACTAATAAAGTGGGCTTCTCCATAGCGATTTTCTAGAAGCTGAAATAGTGGGCGTTTAATTGAATTGTAGTCTGCAAATAGTAAATCGAAACTTATTTTTTCAGGGTACTTTGTTAAGTTTAAATTGTCGATATAAAAGTCTAGATTGTATGATACATCCGAACAACTCACTCGTGTTGAAACCTTTTTTCCTTTCATATATTTTTCTATGGTTTTCATTTTCTGTTCAAAGGATGAACTTTTCTTTGTTTTTTCTTTGTACACAAATGAAATCACAAAGTCCAATAACACAATTTCATCTTCAATTTTTGCATCAATTTCAATATTCACTTGATGGCCTTTTTCTACTAAATTTAGAAAGGTGTTTAGCGAAGTACTGACTTCTGAAAATTTCAATGGTTCTATAAAAGTGTATAAAAGCAACTGTGTTGTATCTTGTATACATTCAATAAACTTTTCACTCTCATTCATTTTTCCTAATAATGAAAAAGTTATTTTTCTTACTTTTTCACTGAAAAACAAGTGTTGCATTTTGTCAAGAGAACCAATAGTTTTGTATGTAATATGGTCTATCCCTTTTTGAATAATATAAACAATCTTTTCTTCTTTAATGGGTAGTTGTTTAATTATTATCTTTGGTTTTGACACCAAAGTTTTTGAGGTGGGTTGTTGATCAATAATCACATTAAATTGTCTTTCTCTGGGTAGAGAAATGTCATATTCCAGCAATATCACATTTTGTGTTTTTAGCGTTTCACATTTTTTACAAACAATGGTAAATTTACATGTTGGATTGTTTAATGAAATGGTGTCAAGTGTTTTTATTGTATTTTCTCTTAACAAGTCACATTTGTAATATAAGACAACATTTTCAATATTTCTTTGTGTTTTGAATATATCAATTTCTTGGATGTTTTCGTTGACAAGTTGCTCGACGATAAGAATTTTTAAATTCACTAGTTCATCGATGTGTTGTAAATTGGAAGGAAGAATTCGTACTTTTCTTATTTTCGGAACTAAAATTTTGTTAATTGAGTTGATAGTAGATATTTGGCTGGAAGCGTCTATCCAGGTTATTTTGTCTAATAAACATCCTTTTAATTCATTTTCAGCGTATTCTATAGAAGACGTGAGTGTGTTAATATTAGGAAGAACTCCGAAAAGATAATTAATTCCGGTTGTAAGTTTTGGGGGATTAATATGTAACATTTTAAGTGCAAGAACACACCTTTTAGAGACTAGTTGAAAACATTTAAATGTTGAAAATCCTTCGAGATAAAGAGCAACATTAGCAAGGTAAATTGGTTCAAGCTTGGAGTGGTCATCCATCATTAAATCAAAAAAATATGATTATAAATTTGGAGTTGTTCAAAAGACAAAACTCAAAATTTTAATTATTAATTTAGACATATTAAACTATATATTTTAAAATATTTATTTTGACCAATTTAGAAATATTTTTTCATATGGAATTTTTATATTTAAAATTGTTATAAACAAAATCATAAATGTTTCAACAACTAAACATTGACAAATTTAAATCAATTTAGTTTAAAATTGTTAAAGATTTTCAATGACAATCAAAGTAAATTTAAACTGAAAAATAAACGTAAGTTGTTATTAAGTTGTAAATTAATAATTCAAATTTAATTTTTTGTGTAATGTAATTTAAAAAAAATAATTAGAACTATAGATAAATAAAATATAATTCAGATATTACTGTTGTTTATAACATGTTCATTTTAATTTTTAAAGTTTTTGTTTATTTTTACATTTTAAAAACATGGATTTAAGTTTTTATATTTTGTTTTGCTTTTTAATATTTTAACATAAAAATGTTTTTGTTTTCAACAACTCGAACTTATTAACATGATGTTAAACATTATGTTATTACCAAATTATTTATTAAATAATAACAAGTTCCTCAAAATGAATACACCCTCAAAAACAAATTCCACCTTTGTATATAATACAAAAAAGAACAAATTATAATTACCTTTTTAATTTGTTTTGAATATAACAAAAATAACATCACATTATTATTTTTTAAATAAATAATTTTAGAAGTCAAAATTCGAATTGTTTGAATTGTTTAAAAGTGAAAAAAAAACATTCTTCGTGTTATATCTTCAAAAATATGTTACTACTTCAAGTTCTTGTTTTATGTTGTTCAATTTCACTATCGTTTTCAGATGAAGCCCCACCAGAACAAACATCTTCATTATATGAACCACTTTCAGATGATATAAAACTTCTTATAATGGTTATACAAGACCATTCCGAATATTGGATTTCAAAACTTCATCAAGCATGGAACAGGTTTAAAAGGTTCAAAATGAAAGAACCTTTGTACCAAAAAGCAATAATGGACACAATCAACGAAGAAAATTCTTTTTTGTCCATTTTAGATAAAATATTAGAGAACAAACAATTTTCAAATGAAGATTTAACTCTTCTTGGAAATGCACTACTAGTTTCTTTTAAAAATGAACAAGGAGGTATAGGTGGTCATAGCCACATGCTTAATAGAGTACAAAAAATAATTCCAAAGGTTTTTAAAATGAAAAAATTGAAGGATGAACAACAATCTTCTTTAAGTATTCAATTGTTGATTCCCCATTCCTATTTTCTTAAAGTCAAAAATCTGATAGAAAAGTTTCTTCAAAACCCACGATTTGGAAATAATAAAGAACTTAAATTAGGATTTGACAAACTCAAAAGATATTGCGGGATATTAAATGTTGAAAACAAAATGATAGGTGAGAAGCATGGTCTGTTTGAAGATCCATCTCTATTTGACATTAAAGACTATAGTCTTTCACTTTATCGAAAAGAAAAAGATTTAAGATTATCACGGAAAAGCCAAGCTTCTTCAAAATCGACAACTTCGACTGTTTCTGAGCTCGGAGAGGGAGTTGAGGGAATGAATATTTATGAAGGAGAAAGACCAGAATCAAGTGAAGCAGCAGCACGTCCAATTGTTAAAGGTAAAGGAAAGAAAAAGTTCTTCAAGAAATTTAAAGGTGCGAAAAAGGGTAAAAAGAAATGATTTATTCAATGTTGTTTTATTGTTTTTTAACAACTCAATTTAATTCAAACGCATAAACAAAAAGAATAATCAAAGGCAAATCACAAATATACACATTTTAGATGTATTGCCATAATTATCACACGACTGTTAATACAATTAATTACTAAACACTTTATTTTAAAATATTAAACTCTTCTGTATTACACAAAAAACTGATTTTTTAATTAACCTTTTAGTCTTTATTATTAACTTTCTAAATAACCCCCCTTTTCTATTTATATTATTGTATAACATTACATGAATTGGTAATGTTAATAATAAATAATACATTTTATTATTAAACCATTTTAAAAATTAAACCATAAATAATATTCAAACCTCAAATCACTCAAAATTTCTTAATATTGTTTCTTCGACTGTTTTTCGTATTTTTGGGGTTGATCTCTTTTCTTTCCATTACTTTTGAAATTGTTTTTGTTGTTAAACTTTTTCAAAGCCAAATTATGGACGTCCTTTTGTTTGCATTGTGGAGACATGTGATCGGTTTGTCCACAAATGAAACACTTCATTTTGAACCCTTCTGCTTTCAAAATTCTCATTGGTTTGCCTCCGAATTCCTTGCCATTCATTTCGTCCATAAATTTCTTGGCGTCTTCTTCGTTTTTAAATCCTATTTTGACGTTCATTCGATTTTGTCGA